TTGTTTAGCTGTCAGGTCCAGGACTACTGGTTTGGTTCACTCTCATCATGCTTGTAGTGTCATTTTAGCAAAAAAAAAAAAAGCCTACGGTACACTACCTGGTCAGCACTAAAAAGCAGACAGACACAGTTAGCAACAAGCTGGTGATCATAGCAGAGCATTTAGCAGCTAATGAGCCAGATTATTCCCTCAAGAGTTGGTAGAGACCAAAAATTAAGCTAAAAGAGTGAATATTGATTGTAAATGAATGCTTATATTGCTCTGTAACTGCTGGATGTGTAAATTAGGGCTGTTCCTGACTAAAGATTTTCCTAGTCGATTAGTTGAACATTTATGATATTATTTTAATTATTTACATAGATATATTTTAACAGCCTGTTAAAGACTGGAAAAAGTAGTGCGGATTCTGAATGTGTCATAACAACCATTAAGGACAACAAATTAACCTGCTACAAACTCGCTCCTCTTCCTCAGTTTCACCACTCTCCTGAACCCACCGTGTCTTCATCTCCAGAATAGTCCTGATCGGAGCCGCTGTAAATCAACTGGCTGTGTTTAAACCCTGTTCCCAGTCCGGGTATAGTCAGCCAGTCGGCTAATAGGACACTAACTAGCTGGTGGCAGCGGTTTGTACAGTTAGCAAATGCAACAGTGCACCAGTATGTGACTCCCTGTGTTAGAAGAGAAACGGTCCATGTTATGCCAATCCCCTTTCACTTTCATTTTAGCTCTGATTTTGGTCTAAATATCTCGTTCTTCAGCTGCTAACTTTGTTTTTTTTTTTTTGCTGTTTGGTCCTTTTTGCTCATAACAGCTGCCTTCTTTAAAATGAAACACTAAAATTTCAACTGATCGTGACACAGTTTTGCCACTACTTTTTCAAACTTTGCTGGCCACTTAAGTTTAAATTTAACTTGTGAATATTGACATGTTGGTGAGGCACTTTTGGATGCACCATTAGTTTGGTTCCTGTGAGTAAGTATATTATGGAGCAGAGGCACAGAATCATGCTACATCAGAGGATCCAGCCCTTGAACTGGGACACTGCTTGTGTCTTTCTGTCCCCTTCAATACTTCTATGCCTCTCTCTGGTGTCTGCGCACTAGTAATGAGCTTCCCCTTAGCACCAAGAGCCCTGGCTAAAGAAGCTTGTTGGTTCCCTTTCTGAAATGCACTGGAGCTTGGGGGACAGAGACTGTCATTAAGTGCTCCTCTCTGGAGAAGTTCTCCACAGATCTCATTACCCTTCTCAGGTAAACGCACAGATGCACTTCACTATGTGCTCTATATCATTCCCCCTGTCTCTCTCTGCCTCTCTCTGTCACAAATACATGCTCACATGTGCAAACATGTCAAGAATTGGTGCAAATCTGAGCTTTCACACGAACACATTAATCCATGTTGCCATCTGGAAGTGTGATTTGCAACAATCCAAAGTAACATTTGCCTAAAAATATAATCATGTTTTCAAAATGGGAATATCCGTGTTTCGCTAAAGGCCTGTGAGAGCATAAATAAACATGAGTAAAAACACACACTCCACATCTCTCACGGCTGACAGCATCTGCATTCTGGTAAATATGTTAACCCTTCAAGTGGCCATGTGTTCCCATCTGGTGTAAAGATCATTTTGAGATCAGATGAAGGAAGAAATATATAGAAGCGCTGGGATTAGAGCAGAGGGGATTGATGAAAGGAGGACTGGCTTATATAAGGTAGCATCCACTCTTCTCTCTGATGTTCCCTCTATTCACTTTCTGTTCCCTTGAATCAGTAGGCGGGGACGTTTTATTGGCTTGTGTGTAGCTGCATGTATATGTCTGCAGCATGTAAGCATAATGTTTATGCCACAGGGAACCCTTCGGATGCTCAGCTACTTTTTACAATCGTCTGATAAACATTTTACATACAGTTACTCATTGGTGATCAGCTGTTCACTTTTGATTGCCAAAAGAAGTGTTTTAGGGAATTGCTCATATGAATGCCTTTAAAAGGTGTGAGCCAATTTGCAGCAGTCAGCAGAGTGCTAGTAGTAGTGCAGGCATGTGGTCCATCTGGCAGCTCATTTCTGTCATGTTTTGAAAATTCACTGACTTTGATCATATATCAGGGTCAGCTGAATATATTGAACAGACTTTGCTGCCAAAAGGGAAAAAAAAATCAGTAAATCAAGAAGAAACATGGGATGTGCCTGGGTAAACTTATGAATTATTTGTGATTTATTAACCCTTACAGTTCTTCACCAAAAACACTGTTCTTGTGCTACTTGCATGCACCATTTTCAGGATAACCAGGGCTCATTGAAAATGAACAAATATTTGATGTGAATAACTGCATTCCACATGTGAATCAGTGTCAAATGTGAAAGCTCATTTCAGAACAGTAATTAAAATCATTCAACTAATCCCTAAAATTTGTAAGGTTTTGGTATAACTGTTAGATATTGTGGGCTTACAACAGACTCGAAACCAATAAATAAAATAGGCAAGAAAGCTTTAATCAAAGAACTCTTTTTTAAGTTTTAGTGAGCCATGTCACTAATCTTTCTGGCGTGCACGCTCATCAAATAGTGTAACAACTTGTAAAAAGGGGTTACATCCAAGCATGACAGCTCATTTTGCTTATAAGTACCAGAGCCATTGATAAATGGACCAATGGCAAGATACACCAGTCTGTTCATGGGAAACACCGGCATCCATACTTTTGAGTGAACCCATAGACAATGTAATTAAAATGTGCTTTTTCAAAAGCAGACTGGCACAACTAGAATATGCGATTCGAATATGCTAATAATGTGCCCCTATACATGTTTTATTTGTGTAACTCATTTGTATTTTTCAACTTCATAGTCACTTACATGCTAACTTATCTTCCCAGTACCTTACCATGTCTCTGTTTTTCTTTCTCCCTCACACTGCATCTTGCTCTCTTGCTCACCTTTTATCTCTATCTTTCTTCTCTCTCTAAGAGTACTACTGTGTGTGTGTGTGTGTGTGTGTGTGTGTTGTGGGTCCAGTATTCTTTTGGGCTTTTCTCTCCTGATGATCTCCTCTCGTCCTCAGTGGAGCAGGCTTAATTACAGTGTGGCTCTCCGCGCTCTGCTTGGTGCTGATTAAAAGGGACACTGACGCTCCATAGGGAAAGCCTGACTGGGAGTTTGTTCACTTTCATGCACACTCTGCTTATCGCTGTCTGACCAGCTCCATTACCATGGCTTTGAGGCCCAGTTTGTAATTGCCTCTCTTTATTACTGTGCCTACATGTCAAGCCAGGGAACAAGGACCCGCCGCATCAATGGAGAGTCTGTGTGGCAAGCCAGGAATGCACACACACACACACACACTTGCTCTCATGTGCACAGTGTAAATGTGAATGCGAAGACAGCGGCCATGCGCAAACTAAAGCATTTTGAAAGCAAGCTAGTGTCGGGCCAAGAACAGTTGACCTAATAAAATAGAGGCCATCGAACACTCACACATGAAAAGCCTGACTTAGGCGGATACGGTCAACAAACTAAAGGTTTTGCACTTCTTTTATGAGTCTTGCCTATAATTATAAGGTTCATGTATTATAATTGGGTGCCACTTTCAAAAAGGTGCCCTTTATAAGTGTGGTTTATAACTTGTAACAAATGCCTTTATTAATAGTTAAACAGGGCTAAGAGTCTACAGCCATGTTAGCAGCTCTATGAGGCTTACTTAATGGGCCAGTATACCCTGTCAGAACTGCTTGTCGGATGGTCAAATATCTGCGGAATCCCCCTTCCCCCACACCTTTTAGATTGAGGGAGGCTATGTCCTACCATTTTTGTAACCTCCCCGAACCGACAATCCGACATTCACACTCATTTCACGCTGATTGGCCAGCTGAATGGTGGTGAAAAAAGAGCCAGGGTCTGAACTTCTGTTTCCAACTATTTTTCACTTGAAAAGTTGTTCACTTTTCATGTGAAGAACTCGTGCCCCATATCCTGGCCCTTAGGCACAGCAGTGCTTGGAGCTAAATATGGTAACATCAGAATGCCAACAAACATGCTTCCAGTGGTAGTGCTTGCATACTGATGGTTCGCAGGGAGTTTCCCACGTTAATTGTCTTAGTTTAGCATGTTAGCATGCTAACATTAGCTTTAAACACAGATTACAGCTGAAGCTGTCTAGTTTTGCAGGTATTTGGTCATAAGCCAAAGGACAAATACATATTTGTCTTGATGATTTTGGCAGGTGAAAAGGTAAGGCATCAGCAAAGTTAATACAATTCCTTGAGTGGAACATGATTGTCTGTACCAAATTTCCCAATAGGCTATTTAACCCTGACCCCCTGGAAACAATGTATTAAACATCTTATTAACAGTTGTAACAGCAGCTAAAGGCTTACAAGGCAATGCGAAACATATTAATTATGAGTAGTTATTAATTATTAGCTATCACATATTATAAAGTGTTACCAGTAATTGTGTACCTGTACCTTCTTTTGTCGCCTCTGGGACCTTCACATGATCCTGGGAGTAAATTGCGTAACACAACATTGCCTGTGTGGAGCTGACGCAGCAACCCTCATCAAGATGGAAAGAGTGCATGATACCTGGAGTAAAACAGACAGATGTCAGCTGTGCAGCCGGGCTTTGCAGAACATCCTTCAGCAGATGGCAAAGCTCAACGATCAAGAACCTGAATATGTGTTGAAGTCAGCACATTTACATTTTCTTTGCGCTGTGTGTGTGTGTGTGTGTGTGTGTCTGCTGGTAGTGTGCTGTAGATAGCCTGCCATAAAAAGTCAAGCTGTAACAGGACTTATGTTCCTAGTTGTGGGAAGTAATTAAATTGCAATAAAAAAACACTCCAGTTGTTCATAAATCAGCCACACAAACACATTTACTCCACCTATGTCTTTGTACCTGCAAGATGTGACGTTTTTTGGTGTTTAATCATTGTTTGTTGGCATTTGAATGCACTGCATGAACATACTGTAAATGATGTGATTTCTGTCTCCTTATTTCACAGGCTTCATGAAAACGAGATGAGATATAAACCTGCACTGTCTGCCTTTGATTTCCAACATCTCCTTTACAACCTGACAGATCTCAGAATCAGCAATGCTGGAGGACACAACTGTAAGTGTGTGTTTTCGTGTGTATTAGTGTGTGTAAAGACTCTAAATTGCCATTAATGTCTGTAACACAATTACTTTAGGCTCTATTTTGCTTGTTATTTTAAGGATGTTTGTCTTTAAACTTCTCTAACGCACCATCTATATATTGCTCTGCACATACCTACATACTACATTCTTGTTGACCTGTCACAGTGTGACATACCTTAGAAGCAAAGTTGTGTGTATATGTAAATCTGTGAGAGCATTCAGACATAATAATGTCTGAATGGATGACATTTTACAAATAATACCAGCAACATTTTAAGTGCCATAGAAAACCCTCTCATTTTATTAATACATTTTTTTTTTTTTACATTTTTATCACACAATAGCACAAATTATTAAAGCTGCGCCAAAGATAGTTACTAAAACAATGTCAGGGTTTGTATTCAGGGAATAGTTCAACTGTTCCAAATCTGGTTCAGCAAAAAAAACGGGACATTTATTCCCAGATGTTAGGAACTAGTTCTTGAAATCCTCCCCTTATTTTCATCATGTCCTTCCTCCCTTTCTATCTGATAGTCTGTATTGTAAAGTACAGGCAGGATCTGAGAGGCATTAAGGCGGATTAGAGCTCCAAGAAGACAGAACAGCTGGCCAAAATCACCAGCTCTCTCACACTTACTTACACCATTTTAATTAGTTGCTCAGTGCAGGAGTTGTGACACACACTCTTGTGTAGTTCCACATGCACTTGTACATTCAAAAGACCGGTTTGTGCACGCAGAAACAGAAGCACAGTCATGCATATTCCGTCAAACTGTTTCCTGTAACCACCCACCCACATGAACGTGCAAACAAAGTCAAGCACACACTGTAAAGTTCACACTGCATCTATCGCACATCACAGGGGAGAAACTCTGTTAATGATTTGTGTTAGGTCCCAAACTCATTCGCAAACAGTGTTAGAAGTGCCTTATCGCTGCAGGCTGCGCGGCAAACTTTAATTTCAAAATCCTATAAAGTTGTCCTCTCATCTTTCTCCTATCCCTCTCATATTCTCCTTTACTCTTAACATTTCTCTCCGCACCACAGAGATTCTCTTATAACTGCATTACATTAATGACAGTATTGTCTTTTGACTATAAAGGCAGGCTGACACCGTAAAGGCCTTCCATTTCTGCTGCCACAAAAATGGGGTTTTGAACAGAGAGCATAGGCATATTGGAGTTTCTGAGAAGTCAATGGCTTAATGGCTTTATGTACAGGTACCCAAGGAGACCTAAATTGTCATCGTTCGCAGGGCTGCAGTGAGCCATGGGAATTAAAATCTAAACTGGTCTGACAAGGTTTCTCGGACAAAGGATTGATGGAGAGAACCTGCACAGCGTGACTTAAAATTAAATGTTTTTAATTAACTGAAATATAGGGTACAGTGTCTGAAAGTGGTTTTAATTGCACATTTCCCCCTCGTTGAATGAGCTAATAGAATTCAGGAGGTAGAGGAGAGTACAGGGTAGAGGCTAAGGCAAGTCATGGAGAGGGAAGAGGACAGGCTTGCCTACTGATTATCCCTCTGAGGTGCAAATGAACTTGGTTTCATCAGCGCTGAAGGAATGGCTGGATCATGACTCGTTACAAGTCAAGGTCCTTCCTCTCCTCTGGTTCTTCCACTTTCTCAGCCCTCTCTGTTTCTTCCAGTCAGATTTTCCTCATTCACACTAGGTTTATTTCCTAAATGATAAAGCTGCATAGTCATACATGCTCCGCATATTCTATCTATCTATCTATCTATCTATCTATCTATCTATCTATCTATCTATCTATCTATCTATCTATCTATCTATCTATCTATCTATCTATCTATCTATCTATCTATCTATCCATCTTCATCGAGAGCAGAATCAGCAACGGACCAGGAACAAAAGTAATTTTGTGTTCTGTGACTGTGGTTTAGAGAGCAGAGGGTGAAAGGGATTCGGTTCAGGATGGCCTGCCCCCATCACTATTCATGAGAGTAGAGAGGGATCTTGAAACCCCACAGGAACTGCACGTCTGACATACCTCCACCGAGTCTCCTGTCTCCTTTTCTTCTCGTCTTGCTCTGCTGCAGTGATTTATTCATTTGCTATATCAAAGATTCCCTGGGTGATGAGTGTACGTGTGTGGGCGCATGCAAGCGCACGTGCGTGTGCAAGTGAGCATTAAGTGTGGCATTTATGAGGCCTGTGGGTGGATGAATCTGTTATGTGTGTGTGTGTGTGTGTGTGTGTGTGTGTGTGTGTGTGTGTGTGTGTGTGTGTGTGTGTGTGTGTGTGTCAGACTGTAAACTGTAAACACAGGCCAGAACCTGTAATGAGACAGGGAGGAAGAGACAGCACTGCAACAAATGCTAATAACCAACTGCTTAACGAGATACAGAGACCCGCAAACATGCACGGGCACAAATACACGCAGACATGCCTCCAAAATCCAGAGAAAAGCAGGTGCCCCAAACACTTCAACAGCCCTCTGAGGAAACAATTATCAGTTTACTACTGACCTTTGAAAGCATCAGGTTTATGACATAGCGCTCTTCCTGTCTTTTCTCTTCCTTCCACTCTAGACACATCGCAGCTGGCGGGGGTAACCCTGACCTCAGCTTTCATCTCCTCTGGTCCAGCTAGTCCTCCAGCCCCATGGGTGGAATCTTGCTCCTGTCCCCCGGGTTTTGCAGGCCAGTTTTGTGAGAGGTGCGCCCCAGGATTCACCCGGGAAGACCCCGGCAGAGGGCCTCTCTCAACATGTGTGCCATGCAACTGCCACAAGCATGGAACCTGTCACCCGGAGACAGGTAATAAGTCAAGCATTTACCGTATATTTGGCATTTACACAACTGTGTTCTAGAAAATGTCAGGAAGGCATGATGCCTTTGGTGCCACTTCGCTGACGAACAATAAACAATGTATCTGTTTCAGTGACTGCACATGCAGAAAAGCCTATAAAATGAATTCACAAATCAAGTGCAGAATATTTGATATTTTAACTCCACCACTTTTACTTGCCAATGTCAATTTTCTAGTCACAGGGAGTGCTCGACAGCCCCTGAAACCAGCTGTACAGTGTCTTCTATGTCTGTGGTTTAAGTTTAAGAAAATGTATCAATAAACCTAAGAAAGTATATTGACTTAAGCTTGAGACAACAAATCAACTCAACAGAAAGTTGAGTTTGTAATACATACACTCAGTCCACAATGATTCCCTATGTACTATATAGTATATTATATTTACTCCATGGCATGTACAGCACTTTGTACTAACAATCCCACAATGCAACTGTCCGAATATTCTTACTTCTGAGTGTCTACCCTCAGTGTCTATTATACACTGTAGAGTCGTGAATGAGTGAACGAGGGAGTGGTTTCGGACACAGGCACTGGCATTAACCAATCAGGAAGGGTCTAATGCTGCGTTTATGTCACATTGGAATTTAATGGATATACTATAGTGCGATACTGTCAGTTCACAGTATTTGTAACCCTCACACGACCAACTCGTTAAGGCTTGTAAGTCGTAAACGGGGGAATCATTTCCAATCTCTACCATCCGTACCACATGATATGAACACGGCCATGAAAGATGGCTATCAAGTTGCCTTATGGGAAGTGTATCCAGCATTTTTGCAGCTTAAACCATATTAGGAAATAAAAGTCAGGATATCTGCATCAACTTCGACCATTTGCTTGTGTAATATCTCATCTCAAGTCCCCCAACTTCATTAAGGTATAATAATACATCCCAGGAGTACTCTTTTGAGAAGGAAAGTACATCAGATCTATCCTCATGTTTCATTATCTTTGTTGCATTTAAAGTCGTAGCATCAAACAGGTAGTAAAAAAAACTGTTTAATCATATTAAACTGATTCAAAAGTCCACTACTTCCCAAGTCAGTGCTCAAAACTATTACCACTATTAGTACTGGTCATGGCACTAACATTTGCTGAATTTTTAAGACAACAGTATGCTGAAGTATTATTATAAAATATTAAACTGATCCAAGTTGCTAGTTAGGCAATGAAGCCATTCTTCTAAAGCGTTCAGCCACAGTTACGTGAGATGAAGGATCATCAGAGGTTGTTGAGACAATATTTTCTGTCACTGTGTCTCTGAGAGAGCAGAGGGAACAGAAAGAGATGCAGGCTGTTCGACTGAAGCATTTTTCTGTGTCTTTCCAGAACTGACATTCAGTCATCATCGCTTCAAGGAAATGTAACTCAGTCATCCCTCAGGAGCATTGGCAAGCTATCACTCAAACTGAGAACTGGATGGCTGGTACTAATACAGCAATATCCTCATTTCACACAAATAATTTTTACAATAACAGCTAAACTAGAAGGGTGCATTTAATGCACCTGTCATTTTATGGGAGATAATAACAGGAGCTGCACAGTATTCTTTTAGATTCATATCCTAAACTCAACGTCCCGTAAATGACAGAAGTAAAACAGCAGCTGTTGGGTGTGTAAACAAGTCAACCTCTTTGCAGTTATTTATATGTGCATGGCTGTGAGTGTGTACTATATGCACTCTCTTTCTTTCTCTCCTTGAGCCTTTGCCACACTATCTCACTCTCACAGCTTTAAACAAGTCTCTCAATCTCACCAAGAGCAGACAACTCTCCCATCCAAGGTCCCACCCTCCATCTTTTATCTTTCCTCAATCTCTTTTTTCCTCTCTATCATTCCCTCCTATCCTCAGCCTTAAAGTATCAGAGATCTGACCTAGTTGGGAGATGCCTGAAGCTTTGGCTGTGAGTGTGAGTTATGTGACTGTGTGTATTTATATGACTGTGTGTATTTATATGACTGTGTGTGTGTGTGTGTGTGTGTGTGTGTGTGTGTGTGTGTGTGTGTGTGTGTGTGTGTGTGAGTCTGAGGTCCGGAAGCAAGTCTGGTATCACTGCCTGCCTGCCTCCCCCCTAATTAGACTTGTTAACCGCCTCTTGGCTAATGATGTCTAATTTGCTTGCAGATTTTCTGTGTCTCTTATGTCTCTTCTCAATCTGGATGTCTCTCTCGCTCTCTCTCTCTCACACACACACACACACACACACTTGTTCTCTCTGCCTCTTCTTGTTCCCCAGACTCCCTAGTCAGCCTCTTGCCGTCTTCTGCTTCCTTCTTCCTCTCAGCTAGGATTGCACCTGCTCTCCCCAGCCACCTTGACTTTGTTTTTAGTGTCCTTGACTCCCTTATGTGCAGAATCCTCTCAAGTTTCCACTCACCGTATACCTTCCTGTCTTTCATAGATATATTTTCCACGTATTAATATAGTATCCAACAATATGTTCTTTCATGCAATGTGCAAAGTGTTTTTTATGTAAAACAGGATTTAGTGCCAACAATAAAATGAGAGAGCAGATGTGTGAGAAAAACTGAAAAGTCTGTTCATTTTTCCCTGTTCTTTAAAAAGATTGAAAGTGTCATAAGATAGGAGAGAGTTTTCAAGGTGGTCTGAACACAAAGGCCTGTGTTGTGATTTGTTGGAAATCACACACCCCCCCCCATTATTCAACTGTTTAGCATCAAAGTAGGTTTGTTTTACGCTCAGCAGGTAGCACTTAGCAGCATTTAGCATCTTCATAGAGTTCACCCCTGACAAGTCCACACAGACTGTGAAGATCTTTTCATAAAACACACACAAACACACGCTTCTCAGAGTGCTTTAAAAATATATGATGACACAAGTGCCATGCAAATGATGAATTTGTGTTAAATATGGAACACGATGTGTCCTCTGAGTCATGGATCAAAAATCCCCCGTGTTGTGTCCTTTGGCATGAATCTCTTGGGTTGAATAGCATTAGCTGACTATCAGTAAAGGAAGCTAGTTAAAATTAGCTTTTCTTTTTCAAATGGATGATGATGGCACATCATCTTCTGAAGGCCTGCTGGCTTCTCTTTAATAAAAAAGGAGGAAAGCAAACAAACAGCAGAAGCTCTCCATAAATCTATAAGTTCAGGTCAAGGGGAACTATCAAAGTAAGTCGATTAGAGACACCCTGTTCATCATTTGTCACCACGAGGGCGGACCAACCTGCTGTTTCTCCTATCAGAATCTTAATTGCTGTATAATTACCTAACGACTTGTATCATCATGCAGGGTGTGCCCACAGACAGAATTGGGATGAAGTTTATTCACTGGCTGCCGAGGGAAGCTGCAGCCAATGGTGCATCATAATCATGATTTATTAACACTCTCTAAGTTGTGTCGGTTCTATTTGCTGTAGCGCAACACAACAGATTGGAAATGTTAATATTTGTGGTGGAACGAGCAAACGACAATTTCTGCCGAGTGCTGGTGCTGCAGGGCTGATGAAGTCAAGCATATGTCCTTCAGATACAAAAAACTGTGTGCAGTGCACGCATTACCACAGTTTTAGACATTTCCGCCTACCACGACTGGACATGCTTCCATACCAAATTGGGCAGAGGCCAAAAACGGATGAGATTGAGGGAGAGGAGAGGAGAAGGAGAGAGATGATTGTAATGTATAGATAAAATGGAGACACTCAATTTTCTCCACAGCCCACACTGTTGGGGAGTGCTCATTAATCACCTAAACAAATGAAACACATGATGCTTTCGACACTGTAGTCACTGCTGGGTATTGAGCATTAGGGTGCTGTATTAAAGCTGCTCTGTTAGCCCTGCTCCCTAATAGACCTGTGTTAGTCCTCCATGGTGAACCACACTTATACTTATATCATCTGAAGATGTTTTCTGTGTCTGAAGACAATTGAGTCTAAATGTAAAGGGGCCGAAAATTAATATATATGAATTTAAAAGACAAAAACTGCCAAATAAGTACCTCCAAACCTGTAACAGTTGTCTTGTTGTGGATCTAGAGACAGCTTTCTTAAGTGTGAGACATTCACTCAAGTGAGAGGGGACTACACATTTTGAACAGGAAATATGTGTTACAAACTGAGGGCATTGGGTGTGAAAGACCAGACCAAAAGGGTCTAGTAGCATTATGTGAAGGGTATGACCCAGTGTTTTCTGAGCTAAAAGTCAGGATATCTCAGCCGCTTTAATAGGCTGATCATTTTTAGCCATGCTACCTAGCAGTGTGGCTTTAGGGAATGCAATGTCAGTCTGTCCATTGGTCACTCCACCAGTTTGGTCCAGACTGCAGTACCCAAGCAACAATTGCGTGATCCTCTGCCTTTTCCTCTTGCACCACCATGAGTCTGTTGTTCTAAATTAAATATCTTCACAAATATAGGATGGATTGCCCTGAAATATGGTACAGACGATGTATTTCCCCAACCGGGTGAATTGTAAGAACTTTGCTTTAACTTTTCAGGCAGCACAAACCATCAGGACAGAATTTGAATTTATCCAATAATTTGGTTTATAATGAAATACCTGCAAAATGGATGACCCATCAGCCTCAACTGTATTTTGTGTTTAGATATAATTAGCTAATCTTAGCATAACAGCTAACATTCTTATATTTTCTTAAATTAGTGCATACTATGTAAGTCATCAAAAAAATAATCTAATTTTGGTCTAATCATGTACTGTAGATACAAAACTTTACGATCATCACTCTCATCTATCTCAATGCCTTTTTCCCATTGCCCTCAGCCATAAGCATATTACATATAATTAGCATTAAAACGCAATAGTAATTGCCACAAAACTGAAATTTAATATTTTCAAAAGCCACACACAATCAAAGGCGACACTGGTGTTTTAGTGAAGCAATCGTTTGGGGGAATGGTTTAATCATTAATGAGAAATCCCATATTAATTAGGTTATTAGCCCATTAACCACAGTTCCCATTGT